TGTATACTAGATCGCCTCCGAAGAAGGCGAAGGTCAATAAGAATAAATGTAAGGGTCATACGGCCAAAGCGAGCCGTGCCCAACTGACCTGACCTAATCCGCTCGGATCAGTATGATGTATTGATTATTACTGCAATAGCAAAGACTATCTGATGCATATTCATATCATAACCTAAAAGATTTTGTTCGACTCTTCGGTATGCTTTCAAGTCCGATCACATAAGACCTCCTCGAGGCACATAAGACCTCCTCGAGGCACATTCGAACATAAGACCTCCTCGAGGCACATTCGAACTTAAGACCTCCTCGAGGCACATTCGAACATAGGACCTCCTCGAGGCACATTTGAACATAAGACCTCCTCGAGGCATATTCGATCTCATATTCGATCACATAAGACCTACTTTAAGCTCATAAGACCTCAATGAGGCAACACTTAAACTATAAGACCTCAAGAAGGCAAGTCCAAGCTCATAAGACCTTAATACGGCGACACATAAAACTGTAAGACCTCAGAGGTGAGTTCGAAATTCGTAAGGCCTCGATAAGGCATTATTTTGACCATAAGTCCTCGAGAAGGCGGGTCCAAATTCATAAAATCTCAAAAGAGGTAATACCGGCCTCATCATCGACTTCACTAATGGCGAAGTATACTCGAATTTGTAAGACCTTAAGAAAAAGGCGTAAAATCGATACAAAACCTGAAGGTCAAATTGTGCCCGAGTTCGAACCCACTCACTCGGGGACTGCTTCGAAAATCTAAGGTTTGAATTTTGCCCGAGTTCGAATACACTCACTCGGGGACTAAGGTTTGAACTACACTCGAGCTCGACCAAACTCACTCGGGGACTGCTTCGAAAAAACCTAAGGGTTAAACTTCACCCGGGCTCGAATAAACTCGTTCGAGGACTATATTGAAAAACCTAAGGGTTAGACTTCACCCGAGCTCGAATCAACTCACTCGGGGACTGCCTTGAGAAAACCCAAAGGTCGAAGTTCACCTGAGTTCGAATACATTCACTCGGAGACTATTTCGAAAAATATAAAGGACTACCATCGTTCCAAAAAGATAAAAGGCAAAGTAATAACAAGATTGAAAAAGGAGCAATAGATGGCAAAGGGCAGTGTTGCATAAAAAAGCTCGCTACCGGAGCAATTACATAAGAGGGGAAAACAAAACAAAGCCTAGCCTATTCCCGGAGTCAATCGGAGCCATCCTCGAATTCTTCGGGGAACGTCGCCCTTCTCGAAGCGTCCTCAGCTTCGGCGGCTTTGGCGACGTCCGATGCAAGATCGAAACCGCGACGTTGGAGTTCGGTAAGAACTTCAAGCCGGGCCTGACACTTCGCATATTCGGCTAACATTCTTGACTGCTGGTTGGCGGCATCAGCATCGGCCCTATATTGGGCCACCATATCGTTGGCAGTCTCCTCGGCTTAGGAAACTTTAGCCTCAGCTTCTCGAAATCGATTGGTCCATAGCTCAATTTCAAGGACTCGAGCCTCATTGGCCAACGTCAAGTCCGCAACCTCTTCCCGAAGGGAAGTCTTCTCCGACTCCAACTGTTGCACCCAGGCTTCCAGTTCGGCTTTGTTCTCATCAAGTTCGGCTCTGCTCTCGTCAAGCTCGGCCTTAACCCGATTAAGCTCGGCTTGCACCCCCCTTAGCTTACAACCAAGCTCTTTCTTTGCTTCCTCCAGCCGGATAGCACAGGACGCGTGCTCTTTATTCAAAAGGTCCAATCCGGTCCGGCTTTCTAGCAGCTTCTCTTCAAGGACCCGGCGCCCCTCTCGCTCCGCCTCCATTTTGTCCTTGATTCGGAGGAACATCAAGTGATATAGCACCGATGCCTGCAAAGAAAAAGTCTAAAGAGTCAGTACTGAATCACAAGGCAAAAATATTAGAAATAAAGGAAGAAGCAAGTACCTTGAGCTGCGCCTGCTGGGCTTCGTTGAAAAGGCATGTCCAATCTACAGCCTCGGTTGCAGCCCGGTCTTCCTCCGTCATCAGGTGATGAAGATAGCTTGCAACCCCGACCGGGGGCCCCAGAGCCCGGACGTCTTTGGGGATAGCAAAAGTTATTATCCTGTTACAGTCCGGGTCCAGGCTCGGAGCTGGAAACCTATCGACAAGCTTGTCGACGGCCGAAGTCCCACTTGATTCGGCCTGAAGGTCTTTCCGGGGGATTTCGAGCCCGAAAGTGTTGGCGGAGGGTACCCCATCAAAAAAGGTCTCGAAGCTACCTCCCATCATCGGGATGTCGTCCGGCAGCTGCCCCCAAGTCGAGGAAGATGGGGGGGACGTAACCGGGTGATCGGTACCCGGGGATGCCCGCGCAGGGGCCGAGGGTTCACTAGCATCCTCAACCCTCACGTCCTCGGGAGAAGCCTCAACTGGATCGACCACCGGCTCAGGGTCCGGTCGAATGGATCGATGGCGGACGAGCTCCGGCTGCTCCTCATCGTCATCCTCTTTGTCGTCCTCCTCCTCGGAGGACAAGACGATTTGGCTTTTTAGTTTGCGGGCGGCCCTTTTTGTCCGCTTAATCTTCCTTTGGGGCTCGTCCGTACCGGACTCCCCGGGCCTTTTATTTTCTCCCGGAACCGGAAGGGGGCATAGTATTGAAGACCTCATCTCCGCGTCCTTGGGCAAGCCTGCAAAACACGGGGGTTATGATGCATTCCCGATATACAAGAAAAAATGCGCTGCTACCGGTCAAAAAGAAGGCTTACCATGGTTTTTCGCCTCCCACCGACCTTTGGAGATTTCCTTCCAGTTTCGCTTCGAATATGGCCGCTGGGCCACTATCTTGTTTACCCAGCCGGCCAGATCCTTGATGGCAGCTGGAGTTTGGGTCACCGCTGCACAAGAAAAGGGGGTTTCAGGAAGAAGTTGAGGAACACACGCTCTAAAAGATGAACAGTGAGAAAATACTTACGTTTGAGGTTCCACCTCTCCGGAAATGGCATGCAATCGGCCGGAATCAGGTCGGACGTCCTGATCCGGACAAACCTGCTCATCCAGCCTCGATCTTTGTCTTCATCGATGCTGGAGAATGGGGGTTTGCTAGCCCGGCGGGCCAGTTTTATTAATCCCCCTCGAAATATTCGAGGGCTGTATAGTCGAAGAAGATGGTCGAGGGTAAAGGGGAAATCGCCCTCGACTCTCTCAACAAAAAACCGAAAGAGATATACGATCCGCCACATCGAGGGGTGGATCTGACCTAAGGTCACCTCGTACCGCCGGCAGAACTCCACTATGATGGGTTCTAAGGGGCCTAAGGTGAAGGGATATGTATATACACTAAGATATCCTTCAACGTGAGTCATAATCGACTCGTCACGGGAAGGGGCGACCAGGTCTTTCCCTTCCCATCTACATTCAGCCCTCACCCGGTCTAGGCAACCGGGAGTGATTAGGCTGATATACTCCGATGCCGGTTCGCCGCGGCCCGGGACCGATGATGGGTTCTCAACCTGGAAGTCGGCAGATACCAAGCAACCAGTCGGTGTAAAAGCTTTCAATGGGGGTTCTAGTGCATGTTCATCAGATCTAGCAGGGCTCGCGGCCGAGCTTGGTCTAGAAGGAACACTTTGTGAAGTTTTCGCCATTTCTTGAAGCTTTACGAAGAGATGAAAAGAAAATACAACCAACGCAAAATTTGAGAAAGATAAGAAATGTTGAACCTGGAAGGGTCGTTTATACTTTTTCCATGAGGCGGTGGCACGAATCGCGAAGCCACAGACACGAAGCGACAGATAATTAAGAGAAGCATTAAATGCCTGCAACAGGCGTGGTCAGAGCACTCGATGGCTTTTTCACCTGGCGTATGGCCATACGTCACGGGCATCACGTCACCGGTCATATCGTTTATTATCATTACTCTCTAATAAACGAGGGGACTATCTGTATTAGGTGATACCCTTTTTTTGCTTGAGCCCGACCGGGTTGGGTCCGGTCCGGAGCAAGTCGGGGCCATCGAACCCGACCTGGATGCAAGGTAGAACGACGGCCACGTCTACAACCGAGGTCGAGTCATTTCGAGCCGTTACAGAGCTCGATA